CCCCCCCCCCCCCCCCATGTACCCTTGCGTGTCTTCTGAATCTCGGCGGCTTCAGGACGTCTTAGGCCATGGGATTGGGGGGACTGCGTACCTTCCTTCTGTATATTCACGTACGACAAAACTCTCGCGGCTGAACAAGGTATATAGATCGGATTGAAACAGGTTCAAAACATATTCACATGAATGCGCCTCGGATTCAAGATCAAATAATCAAGGTGCCCAGAAGAACAATCGGGTGCAGACCGAATCGGGGGAACAGGAATCAGAGACCAGCAGGGTCGAATCAGGTGAACAGAATCAGAGACCAGCCGCCAAACTCAGAGATCAGCCGCTGGATTTAGAGACCAGCCGCCGGAATCGGAAACCAGGAAAGGCCGAATCACAAACCAGGAAACTTGGATTCAGAGACCAGGAAAGTTGAATCGGCGACCACCCGACCCCACCGACCCGAACCAACCGACCCGACCAACCCGAACCGACCGACCCAACAGATCCGACCCATACGACCCGACCCGCCACATCTCACCCGGCCAACCCGACCAACCTAACCGACCCGACTCACCAGACCTTACCTTCCGGACCTGACCGGCCAACCCGACCCGACCAACCCGACCCAACCAACGATCCGGCCGACCCGACCGACCCCAACCGACCGACCCCACCGACCCGACCAACCCGACCCGACCAACCCAAGCCGACCAACCCAACCGATGCAACCGACCCGCCACCCCACTAATCCCATCGCCGAGCAACCCAACCAACCCGACCAACCTAACCAGAGCAACCCCCCCTCACCCTTACCGGGTTGGGAGGATTACGCGGTCGAAGATTTGCTGCAAGATCTGACACTGCCTAGTCTGCTTTCAATGGACAGCTGCATTGTCGAAAAACATGTCTGAAGTTGTACCTGTCGACTGGACTCATCAATCAACCTTCCTAGTCAGAATACCTGTAAGCGCGAGCGGCGGGATCTGTCATTTTCGTACAACGACTCAGGCATCCAACACGCAAACCGTCCCACCCTGCAGACAACGTGTCAAATCCATGTCACGGGACTACAGGCCTATGCTACATCCCCCGGAACGCATTGAAGCCTCCGTCCTGCCCCGGATTCAACACGCAAACCCCAAGCCCGAAACCCTGAAACCCATACAGTCTTATACAGCCAGAATAACCGAGTCCCTAAGCCCCAAGCCCGAAGGCAGAGGGGGCCAGGGAAGGGGGCCAGGGCCCTAAGCCCTAATTAAGGGTCCCCTTATACCCTAATAAGCCTTAAACCCTAAACCCTAACAGGCCCTGAGCCCTGAGCCATAAGACCCAAGCCCTAAACCCTACACCCAGGCCCGTAGCCTTCGAAAGCAAGGCTTCGGCACCACACAGAGGGTGGGAGGTTTGTAAGGGGCGTAAGAAATGGCAAGGGGTGTGCGGGGTGTAAGGGGGTGTAAGGGGGTGTAAGGGTAAGGGGTGTTAGGGGTGTGTTGGGGTGTGTTGGGGTGTGTTGGGGGTGTAAGGGTTCAGACGGGTGTTAGGAGCCTTCCCCTCCTCCTCCTCCCCCGAAATTTGTTGGGTAGGGCGCGGGTAGGGGGGGGGGTGGGGAGGGGCGGGTTGGAAGGGGAGCCCTGAACCCTCGGTTCCTAGAGCCCTCGGGTTTAAACCCTTAACCCCAGCTTTGCACCCCTAAACCCTAAACCCTAAACCCCGAACCCTGGCTGGCTTTAAAGCTCAAATCCAAAAGCCTCTGACCTGCTAATTGCCCAAAGCCTAAACCTGAACCCTAACCGAAGCTGCTTCACCCCATTTTCGATTAACCCTCAACCCTCAACCCCCAAAGCCAACATAGCCATCAACAGCTACCGACCCGGCTTTCTCTCGCTCGCCACAGCAGCCGCCAGATGGCAGGATTTGGTTTGGGTTCAGGTTTTGTTTTCTAATGGAGGGTGGCAATCTCATGGATTCGATTCAGGAAACGCAACACGAAACGAATCGAAACGCATGAACACTTTTAAGAAAACGAATCATTCGATTCGACTGCTTAATTTTTTACAGGAACGCAGCAATCCTGCATCAAGCATCCAAAGCATATTATTCCCTCGGCCCTACCCGAAAGCTAGACTTGCAACATAGCGGTAGCATCGAGCCATCAAGCTGAAAGTTCGAACATTCCGGGAGCTCCTTCGAACGCAGGCTAATCCGAGTAACGAAGACCTGACCAACCGGACCCGACGAATTCCGCCGACCTGCCCGACCCCAGCAACGCGACCGACCCGCCCAGCCCGACCCCAGCAACCCAACCGACCCGACCAACCCGACCCTGTCTCAGCATGTATGGGTCCTTTGCGTGGTCTCGGTTTCGACCCTCTGCGGTCTCTGATTCGGCCCTGCCTGGTCTCTGATTCGAGCCGGTCTGTGATTCCGATTTCTGGTCTCTGATTCGGATTTGCGGTCTCGCAGTCTGGTTCTGTGGTCGGATTCGACTGCGGTCTCTGATTCGACCCTCTGGTCTCTGATTCGTATTTTTGTCGGAAGAACTTTGCCCTGCACCTTGAACCTTGGATCTTGGATCCGAGGCGGACACAATGCTGTGGTTTGAAAAATGCATGTTGTCGGTCTGATAATAGTCATCAGTTTGTTCTCCATAGATACTGTGCTTGTTACGGGAAATTCAACACAAGCAAATCTGTGCGTCTTTTCGTTGCTACTATTCGATGCGAAGCTTCTGTTAGATTCTGTTACCACATTTTCTATTCATGTGATGTAAGCACATGCGCCTGTAAGATGCTTGTGTAGCGCCAAGCAACTTCGATGAATATTCACGCATACTCTGCTTGAAGATGTTGCAGCTGAGGAAGCCAGTTCATTGACTGTTTTCGTCTGTTTATCATGTGCGGAACTGTACTCTTTGCCTACAAATGAATACTTTCCTTTTCGAAAATGGTTCTACAGAAAATGCTTGTACTGGCCTGAATCACACTCTTTCGAACATGAAAGCTGCTAAAGGATGTTTGTCATGTTGTTTTCCGTTCGCATGGGGGGGTCTTTAACTGTTGTGTGGTCGTTTTGATATGGCGTTGCTTACAGCTAAGTGAACTGCTCAAGACAGTATCAGCAATTCACATCAAAATATGATACATATGATGGTTTAAAGTTCATCATTGATTCGCTGCAAAATCTATAAGACGATGCCGCTAGCAGCAGGCATGACCTAAATGATTCACAAACTTGGGATAAACTAGACTGAGAAGAAACATGTAAGATTCAGTTAGCATAGCAAAAAGAAAGCTAGACACATCACAACCGATCATGAGGAACGAAAAGCCATATAATCAATGCAAATTTCATAAGCAGCCAGAACATACTCAAAACATGTTGAATTTCGTTGAATCTTGACCAATAACGATCCCCTTTCAGCAAGTTTTTGAGCACGCGTATATAAGCTCATGTAGCCATCATTCTATTAAGAGGGTTTGCATATGCTGGTTAATCACGCACGTACAAATGTGAATACTCAACCACTAATGGCTGGTAGGCTTCGTCTATCCGAATTTGAAGCAACATAGAGCAGTTAGTTTATGAGTAGTATTATATGAGGCGTGTGAATCACACTTGTTGAGCAATATATCTAGAGTGTCTCACAAGAGCAATGGACACCAAAAGTAAAAGCCAACACATAGCAGTAGGAAAACAGTATGGTACGCCCTGGCGGCGTGTACTTTGCATAACTACTTTTCCATGTAATCTAGTACGTATAAGGCCTGAGGCAATCCATAATACCATAGAAGAGTGCTTTCTTTACTTTCTACTATATGCGAGATATGGCGTAACCTGCAATTCCTAGCCAAAGCAAAATGAGAATGTCCAGGAAGCGGTATGCGCCGCCACGGCGTACCAGTCTCTAAGAACAGGGGAAGTACAGAGGCTTATCCGGGCTGGTATTATTGCAGTAACCAGAACGATGCTTATAAGCACAGAAACACGGACACTGGTGATGATAACGATACCATTGTTAGATGCTATAACGAAACGACGTTTGATACGAGCATAGTTGACCATGTTCGTAGTTTAGATATGACCCAGCATGGAAGTGGACAGTAGCCGTAAATATACGTGAATTTACCTTGAGACCTTGGCTTTGCTGTATGGGTAAGGACCACAGATAGAGAGAAACAACGGCAGAGAAAGCCAGCACGAGAAAGATAGAAAGAGATAGCCAGAGAGACAGACAGACAACAGTAGACAGACGGGCAACTGAACACTTGAACTCAAAAAACGGTTTTAATGACAGGGACAGCGAGCTTTGGGACAGATATTATTGCACGGATTGGACGGGTGTATAGGGACACGGCGACTATCGCGCACAATTCACGCACAAAGTGTGGGTACATGAAGTGGGGTAGCATATGTGGTACCTATGTGTGTGTGTGTGTGTAGCTGCTTGCTTTGTGCGTTGCAGATGTACATAGGCATCATGAGTATTAAACATGTATATATGATTATATATGTAAAGTATAGAAAGAAAAAGTACAGAGATAGATTGACAGATTGCAGTTGCCGACCCGCAGACGATGCCGAATTGCGCGAAACGCATTGCATCGTGAACAATGAACAGACGCAATGGGCAAAGATGCATTGGCAGGCGCAGATGCACTGCGACGACGTATATCACGAGTCGAAGAAGACAACTTGTTGATTCCTGCTTCAATGTGTAGAACATGGGCTATCATTTTCCAAACTCCATCTTCTGGTCGGCATTCCAGGTTGACAAAACTTGTGAATTTAGCATATTTGGTGCCAAACAGTCTACAGTCCAAGGCTCCTATCCTGGGTTGGCGGGAGCTGTGGGATTGTAAAGTCATGGGCAACCCATCAATCGAAGGGAGTGATCCTGGGAGTTCAATGTGAGGAAGGGTTTTGATTGTCTCATCGATTGTGCCTCAACAGTCCAAGGCTCCCACCCGCAGAGTTGAAAGTTTGATTTTTGAGTTTAACGTCATGGCATCCCCAGTGCGGAGCTGCACTCGCATTTGTTCGCCCCCGAACCGAGTGTAAGAACAGCTTGACATGCATGACGTTTGATTCAGCGCCAGGTTCGTAAAGTATCTGATCTTAGGCACAGAAACTCGAACTTAATTGAGCTCGTGGATATCCCGTCAGTCTACGGTCCTATTGTGTCTGTCCTCGAAGTTCACGGTTGATACGAGTTCTCAATTTAAACTCATGACCACCCCTTCAGGCTCCCATCCTCGGAACTCGAGGCTGATAAGAGACATGATTTCCAAAGTCATGGGCGCCCAGCTGCCCAATACTCCCATCCTCGGAATTCAAGCTTGATGGGAGTTCTAGTTGCGTGATATCTGGGGCCTCAGCAGTCCAGCGCTCCCATCCTGGGAGTTCAAGGTTGATAAGTTTCTGAATTTACATCTGTTTAAATTAACTGGAGCACCAACAGCGCAATGCTCCCATCCTCGGAGCGCCACGCTGATGTTATAGTTCTGACTTTAAACTCATGGGGTGTTCCTGGGCTCCCATGCCATGTAAGAAGTACAGCCGAAGTATTTACTCGTAGTTCCGTCTAAGCTCCGTAAACCAAGGCTCATATCTCAGACGAAAAAATGCCAAAAATCAAATCGGAAATTCGAAGGGTCTGATTGAGCATGATCCGCTCCTTCATGTATCTCCAGGCCCTGTCACTCACCTGCGTCCCCGCCTTCACCCGAAATCATTCGAACAGCTTGTCAGTGCCTGGGAGTCTGTGCGAGACGACCTTCACTCAGTTCGGCTTCAAACAGGCGACTTTCCCACTGACGACATGGCGCTTCCTGGCGTGGACGACAACATTGTCGTGCAGTAGACGACAACATTGTCGTGCAAGATATGGCCCGCCTTCGCAGCATAATTGTGTGCGGCATCCGTATGGAAATTGATGTGATTGCCTGTAGGCGTTTCTGGCCAGTAGCAGCCACTCAAGCTTACGGCCGGCTCCCAGCTCCAGGGCCAGGCGCTCTGACCTGTGAGTGTGGGGGGGGAGGGTTCAATGGCTCCGAGATTCCGAGATCAAAGATTCGGCTTCTTCGGGCCCACCTGGGCATCGATGCCCATCATTTTGGATTTCTCGAAACTGGCTTCGCCGCCCTCCCTCATTCTTTACACTTCTGAAACCGCCATGACGAAGCGGTTGCAGGTCTTCCGCTGCGCAGTGACTCATTCTGATCAACTACCCGTCGCAGGGTAACTGATATTCTGCCTGTGTTTGCAACGGAGTAGAAGCTGAATCTCTGCCATGGGTAAACCATGGGTGCAGCCGGGCTGGGAAAATGTACACGCGGCAATTCCTCCGACTGCACCGGTACTTGAAGCCTCCACTGCCAGGGTGCTGAATGAGCTTCGACGCTTGTCACAGCGGGGACATAATCCGGGGACATAGGTTACCGACATTTACCGACATGATGGCAAAAATGTCCTTAGAGCTGCATGTTAGTTCAGAATGCTGCGACATGAAGGTCATGATGCACACTGGCTGTGCACAGCAGGTGCAGGATGCAGCTCGGCAGAGAATGCAGTACAGAATATTGTGAATATGTGTGTGTGTGTATGTGTATATATATATATATGTATATGTATTTGTATTTGCATATGTGCATGTGTATGTGTATACGTATGCGTATGTATGTATGGATATGTTGATTGTTCTGCTCTTTCAACATTGGTTATGGTGCTTCCCCAGGTATCTGGGGTCTTCGCCGGTATAACTCTGATTTTTGGTAACTTCAGTATGTCGTAACGTAACATAAATATATATATATATATA